CGACAGCCAAGATAGCTCTTAACCTCAGCAATTCCGGTAGTATCATCGCCGGTAAGAACAATATCATCGACATACACAATGAGAGCAACTGTCTTACCGCCTGAATGACGTAAAAACAAGGTATGATCAGCTGCACTTTGATGGAAACCAAACTTGAGCATGGCAATGCCAAAGCGATCAGACCAAGCTCAAGGAGACTGTTGGAGGGCCATACAGAGAACGACGAAGATGACATACCATACCAGAATGAGCAGGAGAATGAAAGCCCGAAGGAGGAACTATATACATCTCCTGCAAATCACCATTGAGAAAGGCATTCTTGGCATATAACTGAAATAGAGGCCAAGATCTAATCGCAGCAACAGAAAATAATACACGGATGGTATTCATCTTGGCAACAGGAGCAAAAGTTTCCTCATAATCTATGCCATAAGTCTGAGCATAACCCTTCGCAACCAATCGGGCCTTGTAACGAGCAACTGACAAATCTGGATTATGGTTAACTACAAACACCCATCGACAACCCACAACCTTTCGTCCAATAGGAAGCGGAACTATGTCCTAAGTCTGATTTTTCTCAGGTGCTTGTAGTTCTTCTGTCATAGCATCACGCCATTGAAGTTATGCTAGTGTATCTGCAACACTAGAAGGAAGAGAAACCGAGGCAACACAAACAAGAAAACTCCGATAAGAGGGTGAGAGAGCACAATCAGAAACAAAATTAGAAATAAGGTAAGTACAAGAACGTTTATCCTTCCGAAGAGCAATGGGCTGATCAACAAGCGAAACAATAGCTTGAGAAGGCCGAGATGGTGTCGAAGGAACAAGGCAATCGATCGTGGGAGTAGAAGCTTGTACCTGTTGTCTCTGACTATAAACCTGTGGAAAAGGAACAATTCCCCTTGCTGGAGGGATATTACGAGGAGGAATAATAGAAGATGAAACAAGCAAAGGTAGAGAAGTTGATGACGGAAGAAGGTGATCATCAATTGTGTTCAATGGGAACCATTTACTTTGAGAACCAATTGAACCACTATAGTATGGTGTATGCTAAAAGAAAGAAACATCCATGGATATAAACCGCTGACCACTGGGAGGATGGTAACACCTATTACCTTTTTGAGAGTGAGAATATCCCAAAAACACACTTCAAGCCTTGGGGTCAAGCTTTGTAGGAGTCTGCCCAACTGCTGAACAAAAAAAACACACCCGAAGACTCGCAAAGGAATAGAAAAAAGAGATGAATTGGGATGTAAGATTGAGAGTGGGGCTGCAAAGTTAAGAACCATGGAAGCAGTCCTATTAATGATGTAGACAGCTGTAAGAACTGCATCTCCCTAAAATGACTGGGAAAGATTCATGCCAATGCAGATTACTCTGGCTAAGTCAAGGATGTGGTGATTCTTTCTCACAGAACGGCCATTCTGTTGAGGGGTTTTAACATTAGACATTTGATTCTCAATGCCAAATTCTGTACATAACCATTGTACTTCCCCACAAGTGTACTCCATACCCTAGTCAAATCTAAATTTTTTAGTGTTACGACCATATTGAGTCTGAACCATTGTCATAAAAGTTTTTAAACTGGCGTACACCTTATTTTTTATTTTCATAAGATAAACCCATGTAACACGAGTATGATCATCAATGAACAACACAAAATATCGAAATCCATGACTATAATTAACTGGGCAAGGACCCCACACATCTGAATGAACAAGATCAAAAGGTGTTAAAGCAGATTTATTACTACTAGCAAGATAATTGGAACGAACATGTTTAGCCAGGTGACACGTCTCACAGGATAAATCTGAGACTGCCAAGTTACAAATAAGGAAGGAAACAAATGTTTTAAATAACCGAAAGAAATATGTCATAAACGCATATGCCAACGCATATGCCAACGCATATGCTAGGCTTTATTAGATGAAACATTATTAGAAAAAGAAACTAAATGTGCTTGAGGTGACAAAGGAGCATCTAACAGGTATAGGCCGTCTACTTCATGCCCACTGCCCATCGTCCATTTCGACACCAGATCCTGAAAAATACAGTGAGAGGGAAAGAATGTTATAGTTCAATTTAATTGTTTTGTAACGTTACTAACTGAAGTATGATTTGTAGTCAACCATGGAAGATGATGTGTATCGGACAAAGTTACCCTTCCCAGCAATGGAAGATGGAGAGCCATTCGCAAGGCGTACCTTGTGATAGTCAAAGCAGATACTATAAGATTGGAAGAACGAGTGCATACTAGTCATATTGTATGAAGCACCAGAATCAATGATCCATGGTGTCGAAGATGTAGATGTGTTATGTGCAAACGCAATAGTACCTGAGTGGGCATAAGTGGAGGTTGGCTGAGATGATGCCTCCATTTGATTGAAGAATCGTTTGAACTTGTCCAAATTAGCTTGAGTTAAGGTAACTGTGGCAGAAGAGGAAGAGGCAGAGTTGTCAGGAGTCGACAACGAGACTGGTTGTGTAACAAAATGTGCAGAGGATTGAGGTTGTGTTTCTGTTGCGGTGGGCGTTTATGTAGTGCATAACAACGAGACTTGATGTGACCAATTTTCTCGCAATGGTCACACTGCCCACATTGTCGTCCCAGGAGAGGACTAGTGGTAGAACTCTAAGCTGGCTGAGGACTAGTGGTAGAACTCTAAGCTGGCTGGGATGGTGCAGTTCTTGAAAGGTTGGGAACACGAACTACCATAGCAGAACGATCATCTGAAGTAACACCTAATGGATGACTCCGACGGCTCTCATCTGACAACACATAGGAATATGCATCCTCAAGAGTAGGTAATGGAGATAAGCCCAATAAATGAACACGAGCATACTCAAACTCGTCATTTAACCCGACAAGAAACTGAAACACTCGATTTTTCTCCACAATCCCTACATATAAAACTGCATCATTTCGATCCTTCCAAGAGTGGAAGGAATCATAATATGACACCACCTACCAAATAGCACGAAGCTTGGCGATGTAACCTGAAACTGTCAAGTCACCCTGATAAATCCTAGTGATATCTCACCCCAACTGGAAAATTCGTGCATTATTCTACCTCTGAGAATAAGTGTGTTGAACTGAATCCTAAATCTGCTTAGCAGTCTTCATAAACATATAGCCAACGGCTATGTGTGGCTACATCGAATTGACTAGCCAAGACATAACCATAACGTTATCTGCAAACCACTGTGGATATGCCTTCTCAGACTCAGCTGACTCCTTCTCAGAACCAGTAATATAGTCAATCTTGCCTTTGCCACCAATGAACATCTTGGCAGACTGTGCCCAAATCAAATAGTTGGAGCCATCCAACTTCACTGTAGTGATTTGAAGTTCTGGATTTTCTAATGAGTTAGTGGGGAAAATGGCACCACTACCCACAAAACTTAAGCCAAGAGAATTAACAGTCGAGGACCCTAATTCTACCATAATCTGTCACCCGACAATAAACAACTCCAAAAACACCACAAATTCTGTTAATAAATCAAAGGGTCTCCTCAGACCATACATAGTAACAATGTCTCCTCAGACCATTCCCGAAAAGTCCAACTACAGACTTTTTCAAAGAGCGTTGCTTGCTTACATATGGCCAGACAGCCTCCTTCTCAATATCCGGAACCTCTCTGTAGCTAAAAAAAAAATGTACCCAAGCCCTTCTCAGTGTTATAGACCAACTATCCCAATTTACCCAACCCTAGAAGAGTTAAAAAGAAATTGTAAAGCTTAAAAATACCTGTTTTCGATCACAAAATAGCAACACAGAAAATCATGTGTAGGCAATATCACACGATGTCGCAAATAGCCTAACGTGGCTGTCGCACAAGTAGCAAGGCTGCTGAAAGGTGTGGAAAGGTGTTGGCTCTGATGCCAAGAAGAAATATAAAAGAAGGAGAGAATTGTGTAAAGACTTGAATGAGATAAATCACTCATTTACAGTTATAGTATTTATATATAAAAGGAGCACATACTCATATTACAAGAAAGAAAATTAAATCAAATCACAGCATGTTCCGCATAAACAAATCTCTTCTAATATGGTAAGTCATTTCATAAATCGTGACTATCATATCTGCTAATAGTAACATCAATAAAGTACAAATAATATGCTTTAAACCTTTCTACTCTAAATTTTATTTTTTTATATCATATCCCTCGATAACAAAAAAGGTGGTTCTAGAAGTACCTGTTGGCGTTAAAAGAAACGGGGTCAATTACTAGATATTCAACATGACTTGGGTGCGATTTGATAAAATTGAAAATGTTCAACTACTTAATTTCAATGTGTTACAGGAAAAAAACAGGGGAGGGGGGGGGGGGGGGGGGGGGGGGTTAAAAGTGTTCGTTGGGAAATTGACAACATTTTTTTTAACTTGTATAAATTTTGCGTTATCAAACTCAAGACTAAAGGCAAAACGAGTGCATGAGGCTCCAGCCGTAGCAGGTTCAGGATGGGGTGGGAGATATATGTTGCCTTACCTCTGCATGTGTAGAGGTTGTTTCCCTATTTAGAACCTGTGACCTCCAAGTCGCAGCCGAGTAACCTTACCGTTACACCAAGATTGAAAACTACTCTCTTCAATTTTAAGTGAAACTTATTCCCTTAAGTCATATCTGAACTAAATTATTAAATTTACTTGGTGCTGTCCGAATCCCTCATTCAGATTTGTCAAAATACCGGAAATTGAATTTCTTCTCTTTTCCCTTGCCTACAGGAGGGGTTATATTATTTTCACTCTTCCCCCTCTCCCCATGCGCACCTAGTTCATGTTTTTAACAGAGCTTCAGCAAAGGGGTGAAACGTCTATTTTGAGTACTATTACATGCAGGGTAGCAACTTCTTGTAGAAGCACATAAGTTTACATTTTGATAATTAATTTGTATTACTTCCTTGTGTCTTGAATCTTTCTTGCTGCAGTTTACCACTTGTTTAATAATGCATGGAGATTTTTTATACATTATCATGGTTTAATTATTTTCTTTCTAGAAATCCTTGGGTTCAGAAGCAGTCTATCACAAATGAAGAAGAGAGAATCAATGACGAGTGGTGGAATTTATATGACAACCTATGGATCATAATTAGTGAGATGAATGGGAAAGGACCAAGCAAAATGTTACCGAAGTCTTCATCTGCAGTAGGACCATCTTTTGGCCAAAGAGCACGTGGCTTAGTAGAATCGCTGAATATTCCTGCTGCAGAAATGGCCGCAGTTGTTGTATCTGGCGGGATTAGCAGTGCGCTGGGTGTAAAACCAAGTAAAAATGTTGATAAAGCTATGCTATTAAGAGGGGAGAAGTGCCCAAGAATTGTCTTTCGACTTGTAATCCTTTATCTCTGTAATTCTTCCCTAGAAAGAGCGTCTCGTTGTGTCCAACAGGTCATTCCCCTTCTGCCCTGTCTTCTGGCCACTGATGATGAGCAAAGCAAGAGCAGATTGCAGCTTTTCATTTGGTATTGTGAATTTGTCATTTTAAGACGATTGTTATGAAAAGTTTGTTAATTTTTACAATATATCATTTAAGGTTCTTCATGGAAATTTAGGATGGGTAAATAAGCCCTTTGACACCATTCTCAATATGTGTGCAGGGCCTTGCTTGTTGTTAGATCACAGTATGGAATGCTGGATGATGGTGCTAGGATTCATGTTATTTCACACTTGATTCGAGAAACAATCAACTGTGGAAAATCAATGCTTGCTAACAGTATTGTGGGAAGAGATGATTTATCAGATTCCAGCAGCAATCCAAAAGAAACAGGCACCATTCACAATCTAATTCAGAATGATCGAGTGATTGCTGCAGTGCGTCCCTAAGTTCATTCTAATGTTGTCTTATTTCTTCATGTTGTGTTGCTGTCCTAAAGAGATTATAGTGCTCTTTTGCTGCGACAATATATATTTATCAATTCTGGCTATCATAGCAACTGTATCTAGTGTTTTGCTCCATCTGCAATTACTTACCCATTTAATTTATCTGCACTCTATCGTGTCTGTTTGCCTCTCTGTGTAGGAGGGTCTCAGATAGTCACATGTTAGGGAGGGTGCTAGAGCTTGATATATGTTGTTCATTCCAATCCATAATAGTTCAAGCTTTTGGCACAAGTGGTAGTCATAACAGTTCCATCAAAATTGTATCTGTTAAAAGTCAAAGCTAGTAAAGGGTGGTAACTAGCACGTGCAATGAACAGATAAATAATCTAACCTCGTATAGATAAGGTTATATGAAAGTCATACTATAAATTGATTGATATTTTAAATTGTTGCCAATTTATGTGTTCAATGAGGATGAATATTTGCTAAATCCTGTTAGACAATCAAGTTAGTAGTGAAACCACCTCCTTAGTAACCCATAAACCATTGAACTCTTGCAAAGGCACCCTTTACAATCTCAGCAATCGCCGCTTCCTTTTTCTCTCTTATAAAGTAACATTGGGATCAACAAGGCGCATTGCATGTAGCATTGCTCCAAGTTTTTACAGTACATGCCTCTTTATATGTATTAAAGATGGTGTCTGATGAGGCCAAGTTATGGCATTCTGTAGAACTTTATCTATCCTGTCATCTTTACTTTCTGTGTATTATTTTGATTCCTTCTGTTTGATTGTCTTGCTTTACTCTTCAGGTCGCCGATGAGGTAAAATATATAAAGACTTCAAAAAATGATCGCACCAGACAGTTGCATGAGCTTCGCACTAGGATGGATGAAAATATATCTGCAGATTCAAACCAAAGGAAAGCTTTTGAAGATGAGATACAGAGTAGCTTAAAACTCATTCTTGCTTCGGATGATAGTAGAAGAGCTTCCTTCCAGCTTTCTCTTGATGAAGAGCAGCAAATTGTTGCTGTAAGTGTACAACTTTTGATTGATGTTATACCAAGTATTTTCTTGTGTTGTTGTCAGCTTCTTTTTCTTGTTTTCATCTGTATTTGTTGTGATTTTTCATTTGCATTCACATTTATCATTGCTGCATCAACAGGAAAAATGGATACACATGTTTCGCATTCTGATTGATGAGAGAGGTCCATGGTCAGCAAATCCTTTTCCAAATAGTACCATAACTCATTGGAAACTTGACAAGAATGAAGATGCATGGCGGCGCAGGCCGAAATTAAGAAAGAATTATCACTTTGATGAAAGGCTTTGTCATCCACCTTCCACAGTGGCTAACAACGAGGCTCTTCTTCCTGTCAATGAAAACAAATCTGGTTTTGGGGGGCATATTCCTGAGCAAATGAAGCAGTTCTTACTGAAAGGAATTCGCAGGATCACTGATGAGGGGTCCTCAGAACCCACTGAAAGTGATGCTGAATCTAGTGGGCAAAAGACCTTGGTCGCTGAGGATCCTTCAGACAGACAGTGTCCTGAGGTTGTAAAAGACTGCAATGATCAGAAGGATATTGTTCCGGACAGAAGAGATTCTTCCTCTACATCAACAGAGCCAGAAACTCGTGAGGTATATATTACAAAATGAGCATTTGACAGGGGTAAAATATGTAATTGTATCTCTAACGTCTGGATTTTTATTTTTAGGTTCTCTTGTCTGTCCCGTGTGTACTAGTAACACCAAAGAGAAAATTAGCTGGACGTTTGGCAGTAATGAAACATGTCTTGCATTTCTTTGGTGAATTTTTAGTGGAAGGTACAGGAGGGTCATCTGTTTTCAATAAATTTCATACTTCAAACAATTATGACTCGAGCAAGCATGATCAATTGGGAGGAGTTCAAAGGCAGAAGTTTTATAAATGGCCCATTAATTTAGATATGGATTCAGATAAAGGGAAAGCCGTTGATAACACAGGAGTTCATCAAATTCTTTTGCAAAAGCAACCTAAAAATATAAAGCGCCATAGAAGGTGGAATGTTTGCAAGGTACCGGAACTTTAAAATTTTCTTTTTTTTTATTTTTTTTAGTTTTTTTTTATTTGTGGCCTTTAAAGATGTATATCTGCCCTACAATCTGATTTCTCTCTTCTTTATTGATGCTCATAGATAAAGGCAGTCCATTGGACTCGGTATTTGCTTAGGTACACTGCAATAGAGATTTTTTTCATTGATTCTGTTGCTCCTATATTTTTGAATTTCGCGTCACAAAAGGATGCAAAAGATGCTGGAACATTGATAGTTGCTACCAGAAATGAATCTATGTTTCCAAAGGGATACAGGGACAAGACTGGAGTTATTTCCTTTGTTGATAGGCGTGTGGCACTGGAGATGGCAGAATCTGCCAGAGAGAGCTGGAGGAGAAGGGATATGACAAACTTTGAATATCTAATGATTCTCAATACGCTTGCTGGAAGATCTTATAATGATTTAACGCAGTATCCTGTGTTTCCTTGGGTGCTGGCTGATTATTCCTCGGATATTCTTGATTTCAACAAGTCATCAACCTTTAGGGATCTTTCAAAACCTATTGGGGCACTGGATTCAAAACGGTTTGAGGTTAGTTCACTTCATTTCCCGTTTGTTGAGTTTATCCTCTCTATATAAGAAAATTTTAAACTTTTATTTATTATGGGAAACCACTTTTATAGAAATAAAGCTTCAGGTACAAAGGTGGACGAGTTGTTCAACCATGGAAGAGAAACAAACCATAATATGACTTTTTTTTTTTTTTTCAGAAACAACTACTTGGTTGAAGAGAAACAAACCATAATATGACTACTACCTTTTTATCAGAAACCACTACTTTTGTTTAAATAAGATTCTAGTGTAGGATTCTTATAATTTAGTGTGCTATTCCACTTATACAGGTTTTTGAAGATAGATATCGTAACTTCTGTGATCCTGATATACCGAGGTAATCTTTGAGTCCTGCTTCAGCATACTCTGTGGCTTTTTTAGGTTTGCAAGATTGCACTCTGACTAAGATGTCTCATATGCAGTGATAATTTTGTTTTTCCTTTTGCAGTTTCTATTATGGATCTCATTACTCAAGCATGGGAATTGTGCTTTTTTACCTTCTTAGGTTGGAGCCATTTACATCTCTCCACCGTACGCTGCAGGTAATTTAATAATGGCATGTTTACTAGGCATCAATATCAATAATGTATCACCTAAATAAGAATTTGATGTAATCCCGGCATTATGATTTCCTAGAAACAATATAGTTTATTTAAATCAGTTTTTCATTCAAGATGATATTTCTACACTGATTCAACTGGATATCAAGTCCAGTATACTCTCTTGGGTGTTAATTTGCCACCTTTTTTTTTTCCCTTCTTTGTATTTTTTTTTTTTACTTTATTTTATTTTTTGTCTGCACTCATAGCTTCACTAACACATTTTTTGGTTAGGGTGGTAAATTTGACCATGCAGACCGCCTTTTCCAAAGCATTGAGAGCACATATCGGAATTGTCTTTCTAATACAAGTGATGTGAAGGAATTGATTCCCGAATTCTTTTACATGCCAGAGCTTCTTGTTAATTCAAATTCTTATCATTTTGGAGTAAAACAAGATGGTGAACCATTACGTGATGTTTGCCTCCCTCCTTGGGCCAAGGTATGTGAATCGCCTGTGATTTTAGTAGTGGAGCCACTTACCTACTCTTTTGGTTTAGTAGATGCCTGTTTCATCTAGCCAAAAATAGAAGTGACTCACCTGTGAGTGTTGATTACTGCAGAGAGAAGTTTGGACCTTCTAGTTTTCTAGGTTGCCGTGGGGATGGGGGTAGCCATGGTTTGACAAATGTCTGGTCAATGATGAGAAGGATTCATTTAATTTCATATTATTTGGGCTTAATGCTATCTAATTCCATATTAGCTGGTTAAGGCTATCCTTCCTCCTAATGAAAAATCAAAAGAATTGTATTACCTCATGTGGTGGTTTTTTTTAGTATATAAAAGATAAAGAAAAATTAAATAATATCCTAGCCTGATGAGGAAATTGTTGACATGTATTCTAAATTTTATATTCATTTGCATATTTATACTTTTATTTGTTGTAGAAATGCTGCACATATATTACTGCTTACTCATGTATGAAACGAGAGTCCGAATCTTGACAAATAGTGTCAAAGGTTAGGTCTGTATCAAGTGCATCCCTCCGAGCATGCTCGATTAGTGAGGACCACACTGGGTAGTTACTGTTATTTTTTTAAATGTAAAACCATAAAACATCATTTTTGGATGTTTGTTTGATTGTAATTTGTGTTAAATAATTTTTTTAGTGGGAAAAATAGCTTGCCTAACTTAAAAATGATCTAGCATTTTTATTTTCCATAAGTTGTCCTAGTCATGGTTTAGGACTCGCTGTAACTTGGCTGGCTAAGTGAGCACATCAGACTCATCTGTAACTATGACCAAATCAGCCGAGGTCATGGTGAGACTAAAAATCACAACTAACTTGGAGCGGCTCAGCTGCGACAGTACTGTTTGGGCACAGAACTACATAGACCTCCTTTTTTTTTGTCCAGTTCTCATTTCTCTCTTTCAAACGAGTCTCAACATCCAAACATGTCAAACAACTTGAATCTACAAATTCAAAATGCAAACAAAACACAAGATTTAATTGTAAATCCTCGATCCAAGCTCTCCGATCTTGTAAAAAATAAGTAGGATTATAAGTGTTTTTCCTTTTCTTTTTTTTCTAGATCTAGCATGACAACTATTGTTTAATGTTAGATATAACATACTTATTCATGGATCTTGCTACAAACTTCCCATCTGTCTATTTTTTGAATATTTCCTTATGTTTTATAAAAGGAAGCAAGTAATTTTCGAGCCGAATTAAATTTTATGTCTTAATTAGTTTAAAATGTAATTATATATTATATACTGTATACTGTATATGTATTAGTCTAGATTAATCTTTTTAAATGGAAAAAGAAACGGTAAATAACTAAGTGAATTTAAGAATTGTTAAAAATTGACAACAAAAAAAAAAAACAAAGTTGTAAACAATTTAAAATAAGTAAATACTTTATACTACAGATTTTCTAGTCTGCATAAATTGTTTTGAAAAATAAAAAATCAGAAATGTTGTACATATATTAATATTTGTTACAGATATTGTTGAACTTTTATTACTAACAGCGCCTTAAAACTAAATTTATAGGCTTTTACTCTTATCAAAACAACTTTAAGTATACAGTAAAGTAGAATAAAAAATCACTAAAAACATGTTTTTATTGAATTCTATATTTAAAAGTTGTGGAGAAGATTTTTTATCGACATGTAATGGTGAAAAAATTTTGCGACTGCCACTATGACAGTGATTGTGACTGCGTCTGTGGCCAACGGTGACTTAAACCCTTGGTCATAATACACACCATGTACATACGTATGCATGCAAATTCAGTCACCTGGCACATATATATTTGTCTATATGCATGTGTATATAAGAACTTATATATGAGCAGATGTATGAACTCACATGCATATGTGCTTATGTACTCCGATATATTCATGCCTATACTACATAGATATTCATTTTACGTATATGCATATATTTTCATAAATACCTATATATATGTTTATATACATCTGAACCTTCATACTGTACAACATGCTTATACCTTCCAATAAGTATCATATATGAATATATGTGTGAAGTGCCTATATTCATGCTTATATTTACTTTTTTAAATATACATGAAGCGTAAGCTTTTTAAAGTTCTTTTTTGGTACTTGGAGAAAGAAAAAAAATGGAAAACAAGAACACATGTAAAGAATTTCTTTTGAAATTAATTTTTCAGGGCTCTCCTGAAGAATTCATATGCAAAAATCGAGAGGCCCTTGAAAGTGAATATGTCAGTTCAAATCTCCATCACTGGATTGATTTGGTGTTTGGTTACAAGCAACGTGGAAAACCAGCAGTGGAGGTATTCTTAGTTTGAGAAGAAGATTTTGAATTTAGAGAATTTGTGGCTTTGCTTTTAAAATTTACTAATCTCTTCGTAAACATTGAATTACAGGCAGCAAATATCTTTTATTATTTAACTTATGAAGGTGCTGTTGATCTGGAAACTATGGAAGATGAATTGCAAAGGTCTGCAATTGAAGACCAGATTGCAAATTTTGGCCAGACACCAATTCAGATTTTCCGTAAGAAACACCCTAGAAGAGGGCCACCAATTCCAATTGCCCATCCTCTACATTTTGCTCCTGGTTCTATTAAATTGACTTCCATCATCTCTAGTACAAGTAATTCACCGTCTGCTGTCATATACATCAATATATTCGACTTGAACATTGTGCTTGTGAACCAGGGCCTCACCATGTCAGTTAAGTTGTGGTTGACAACACAACTGCAATCTGGTGGAAACTTTACGTTCTCTGGATCACAGGTACGATTATTGATCTTCATTAAAATCACTGAATTTATTATACACCCTTTCAATCAAGATGTTGATGGCCCATGTTGATGCAGGATCCATTTTTCGGGATTGGTTCTGATGTCCTATCTCCCCGTAAATTTGGGAGTTCATTGGCTGAAAATATTGAACTTGGTGCACAATTTTTTGCAACATTGCAGACACCATCAGAAAATTTTTTGATTTCATGTGGCAACTGGGAAAATAGCTTTCAGGTCATATCCATGAGTGATGGAAGAATGGTTCAGAGCATCCGACAGCATAAAGATGTGGTTAGCTGTGTTGCAGGTACCTTCTATTACTTGCATATGTTGATTCAACCAATAACAGGTGTACTAAAATTTATGGGCGATTGAATTGATATATGGTGTAATCGTTTCTCGTCATTGCAACAAGATGAAACAAAGCATGATTTGGCTCCATGAAATGTCCAATCGGAATCTGAGACATGGATTATAAACAAACTATGATTTGTAGAAACTGTCTAGTGTCAAGACGGCAACCTTAATGATCAAAACACTAGGACATGACATGACCATATACATATAAAGGGCTAGCCCAGTGCACGAGACTTCCGCCATTGCTGGTCCAAGGAGGGTTAGATGTATGCACCTTTACCTCCGCATGCGGAGAGGCTGTTTTCCGTTCCAAACCTATAATCTCCAGGTGACAATGGAGCAACATTATCGTTGCACCAAAGCCCGCCCTTACATGACCACACACATATGTGATTGTAAATTCTAAGACATACATATGACCATATGCTTATGATAGTACACAAGCAGCATAGAAGAATCTTTGTCAGGGCCATATGAACATGAATCTGAAGAAAATCCGAGCAGATGTTGGAGCATTCCCTTAAGCAATATGTAGCACCAGCTTTTTGATATTTCAGAAAATTGGCAAGGAACGTGCAATGTTGTTAAAGGCGTGCCCAGGCGCGAAGGCTCAAGGCTCAAGTTTAGCACCTGTTGTCATCCCAGGCTCACTGATGTTTACTAGGCGCGCGCCTCGGTTGCACCTCGTCCTGTTTGTGAGGCGCGCCACTAATATTTGTTTAAAAAAATACGATTGTTCTATTTCTTAAGCCAAAAAGGGTACTTTTGGCAACTTAATAAACAAAAAAGAAAGCCCAATTATACGATAGAAGGAATTTTGTACAAAAGAATAAAAAATAAGAAAGCCTAAGAGTCAAAGTGTTAACTGAAAAACGATAAAATGAGATTGTGAGACGAAGACGAAGCCCTAGTTGCAGAGATGAACGACGAAGCCACGTCAGTTCTTTCTTTCTTTTTTTCTCTCTTCTCCTCTAGATCTCCCCTCTTCTTATCTTTGTTTGCATCTCTCTCTTCCTCTAGTTCTCTTCTCTCTGTCTTTTTTTATTTTTGGCTCTGTTTTTTCTTTTCTTTTTTTTTCTTGTTAACAATTTTTTTTTTTTTTTTTTTTTTTTGTTAACGTATTTATTTTTTTTTGTGCTTTGTTTTGCCGATCAAAAAAACACATTTTACTTTGCCTTTCAAGAAAACAAATTTGTGCTATGTTTTATGGTTGTTGGATGCTTGTATAGGTGATGGATTTACTTTTTTATATTTGATATTAGTTTTTAGAATATTGAGTACACAACACAGCAACCCGCCTCTTTCTGGACTTAGGACTAACTGTGTAGAGTATGAAACTCTAACACAAACAAAGAAGTGATTAGATTTGAATAGCTATATGGAATTTTCAAAACTACCATATTACTGTGTAGAGTACACAACACAGCAACCCGCCTCTTTCTGGACTTAGGACTAACTGTGTAGAGTATGAAACTCTTAACACAAACAAAGAAGTGATTAGATTTGAATAGCTATATGGAATATTCAAAACTACCATATTAAGTTCCTATTTGTTAATATCATGTAATCTATTTCGCTATTTTTTTCATTGTAACTCAATCTGCATGTTTTATGTTATAAATAAATGAGGGGCGAATATGAGAGGAGTTACTGATGAATAATTTGGATGGAGTGAAGCACTTTATAGTTAAATCTTATGAACAACTCGTGAGCAATGCAGAATTTCCATTAAAAGTCGTGAATATAAATTCCATTTCTGTTCATATTTTTCATCTGCAGACGTTATTATCTTAGCATTTCTTTATCTACTGTTGATGTTCTTGTAAGATTTTCACATTCTCACTGAAGATTTGTACCGGAATTGTTGCAGTGACATCTGATGGGAGCATTGTTGCTACTGGGAGTTATGACACAACAATCATGGTGTGGGAAGTTTTTCGTGTTAAAACCCCTGAAAAGAGAGTTCGAAATACACCAACAGAGATGCCCCGTAAAGACTATGTCATTGCTGAAACTCCATCCCATATTCTGTGTGGACATGATGATATAATTACATGCTTATATGTGAGTGTAGAGCTTGATATAGTTATAAGTGGGTCAAAAGATGGAACTTGTGTTTTCCATACCCTGAGGGAAGGAAGATATGTAAGATCTCTTCAGCATCCATCTAGCAGTGCATTATCAAAGCTTGTTGCATCTCGTCATGGACGGATAGTACTCTACTCTGATGACGATCTCGGCTTGCACCTGTATTCTATTAATGGAAAACACATTGCAACTTCTGATTCCAATGGTCGCCTTAATTGTGTTGAACTGAGCAGTTGTGGCGAGTTCTTGGTTTGTGCGGGAGACCAAGGACAAATTGTTGTACGTTCTATGAAATCACTTGAGATTGTGAGGAGGTATGATGGATTTGGAAAGATAATAACTTCACTAACTGTGACCCCAGAAGAATGCTTCTTAGCCGGCACCAAAGATGGAAGCCTTCTTGTGTACTCTATAGAAAATCCTCAACTTCGCAGAACTAGCCTTCCTCGAAACTTGAAATCTAAATCTTCTGCAATGGGATAGATTCACAATTTAGAACTGCAGTAATGGATTGTTGATGATTGGTGCTGATCAGTGATGTTAGCTGAGGTATGCTTCTTTCATCAATATTTTGCTGGTTCCTGCTTTACTTTCATATTACATTAAAGAACAGTGTCCATTTTATGTTCATGAATGTTCATCATTGACCGCTTTTAATATAATGGTATACAGTAATCTTGTTTGGAATATCTTGCATTAGTATTTGTATTCTTTTTTCTTTTATGAATACAAAATAGTTTTGGTGAACGTTTTAGTTCATTTCTCATCCATTTCATCCAGTTAAAGTGTTGTACTCATAAACTCAAACAGTTCAGATTATGAAAGCCCATTAGCGGCAGATTTGGAGCTAGAAATCATCATAGCCGTGGGATGTTGTGGTAAAGGATAGCTAAGGCTTAAGGCTCTAATTGAGAGTCGCAAGGTCAACTGATCTAGACCTAGAGGGGAGTGAACAGGTCTTGTAGAACCAATTAAATGTTTCAACTAAGTATTATTTAAAAAGGGGATGAACGGAAGTTTAAACCAATAGTAAAACGTATGCAATCCGTCGCAATTTAAAGCAATAAACAGTAGACACTAGATTTTACAAGAAAATCAATAGGTAAAACTGCGGGACCTAGTCTAGGTAAACCAAATTCACTGTCAAGAAAGAATGTTTACAACCTAAGTGTTAGCAGATATGATAACCATGATTTATTTGACTTACCATTTAGCAGAGATTTGATAGCCACGAATCATGGATTTTGACTTTATCTACGCACATGTCTGGCCATAGAATATGGCAGTCATATGTTGTGATTTGATTTAATTTCCTTTCTTGTAATATAAGCATGTGCTCTTTTTATCTATAAATACTAGAGATGTGAATGAGTAATTCATCTCATTCAAACCTTTTACATATTTCTCTTTTCTTTCTTCTATATTGTATTTCTTCTTGGTATCAAAAGAAGAAGTTTTGGGTTTTGACCTCAAACCGAGAGTCGAGAGCTATATTTATATACAAGAATAGGGTACAAAGAAAGAAAACCAAATCAAATAAAAACAGAAAATATGCCAAAATAGATGTGATCCAATGATTATGGGGATCTTATCTACGTGATCCTATGATAATAGGGATCTTACATAAAACACCTAATAAAAGGCTGAAAACTGCTAATAAAAATAAAAATAATAATAATATAGATATTTCAACACTCCCCCTCAAGCTGGAGTGAAGATATCAATCAAGCCTAGCTTGGTAATCGAGGAATGAAGCAAAGATGGACTAACGGATTTGGTGAACACATCTGCCAACAGATTAGAGGACTGAACAAAGCACGGCTTAATAATACCCGAACGAACCTTCTCTCTGATAAAATGAATGTCCTCCTCTATATGTTTAGTCCTCTCATGAAGAACAGAATCTAAAGCAAGCATGATGGCTGACTTATTATCACAAAATAAGTTTGAGGGCTGTTTTTCACTTAGCCCTAGTTCCTCCAAGAAAGATCGAAGCCAGAGAATCTCACAATTACCCTAGGCTATGGCATGATACTCAGCCTCTGCTTAAGATCTTGAAACTACATGTTGCTTCTTACTTTTCCACAATATAAGATGATCTCCATAGAAAGTGCAAAAGCCAGATGTGGAATGTCTGTCGACCCAACATAGTTTGCATCACTAAAATAGGATAGCCCAACCTGCCTGCTAGAAGAATAGAATAATCCATGTCCAGGGCAAGACTTAAGATATCGAAAAATATGATATACCGCATCCATATGAGCTGTATGAGGAGCATGCATAAACTAACTCACAACACTAACAGCAAAAGCCAAATCAAGACGAGTGTTAGTAAAATAAATCAATCTTAAGCGCTGATACTGCGAGGGATCAGAAAGGAGATCTCCAGACTCAACCGAGATCTTTATATTAGGATCCATAGGAGTGGAAGCAGGTTTACACCCAAGCATAACTCTGTCTCGAAGAAGATCCAAGACATACTTCCTTTGCGATAAAGAGATACCCTGCTTAGATCTAGCAACCTCAATTCCCAAGAAATATCTGAGCTGCCCAAGGTCTTTCAAATCAAAAGCTTTAGCCTTTAGCCAATTGAAGCTTTACTTGAGCAATATTAGGGAGTCATTGCCAGTAATGCTGATATCATCAACATAGACAAGAAGAATGATACATCGACTAGTGGAGGAATGGTGGATAAAACATGTATGGTCAGAATGGCATCTAACAAACTCCATGGATAGAATTACATCACTAAAGCAGCTAAACCAAGCTCTGGGAAATTGTTTTAACCTATACAAAGACTTCCGCAATCGACAAACCTTTCCAGCGTACTCCCCCTCAACCCAAAAACCGGATGGAGGATCCATATAAATAGTCTCAAGAAGATCACCGTTAAGGAAAGCATTCTTAACATCAAGCTGATGAAGAGGCCAAACGAAAGGATTCCTCACATCAAGCTGATGAAGAGGCCAAACGAAAGCATTCTTCACATCAAGCTGATGAAGAGGCCAATTATAAGAGGCAACCAGGGAGACAAGCAAAGGAACTGAAGTCAATTTAGCCACTGGAGCGAAGGTATCATTAAAGTCTTTACTAGGAATCTGAATAAACCCTTTGGCCACTAAACGGGCCTTATACCGATCAATAGAGTCATCGGCCAGATATTTAACACTAAATACCCATTTGAAACCAACAGTCTTTTCACCAGGAGAGAGAGATGCAAGCTCCCATGTTTCATTTTGCTGGAAAGCATCCATTTCTACCATCATAGCAGACATCCAATTGGGATTCCGGAGAGCCTCACAGACATTTTTGGGAATGGAAATGGAATCAAGTTTGCCTAGAAAGGCTCGGTAAGACCCTAAAAGACCATCACAAGAGATATACTGCGAAATAGGATGATCAGTACTACAAGCGAATCCAAATCGAGCAGGGGGTTTGCGGTCCCGAGTAGGATGCCGAGACTCAGGAATAAGGTCAGAGAAATGTAAAGGGGAGAGAGGAGATGTACCTGAACGTGTATCTGAGGAAGATGAAGGCAGTGGAGGCGGAGCACAAGGGCGGCGAGAATAGACCTGCAAAGGGGGTGAGGAAACCACAAGAGAAGACTCTTGTTGAAAAATAAGAAGAGGACGAGCAAGAGGAGAAGCCTCTTGATCTAGAGTAGAAGTTTCTTGCACGATAGTGTTAGAACCATAAAAGGGGTATGCTCATTAAAGGTGACATCAAGAGAGTGATACATGTGTTTGTTTACAGGATCATAACACCGGTAACCTTTTGACATTGAAGAGTATCCTAAAAAGATACATTTAATGGCCTCATCATCAAGTTTAGTACGAGAAGGGCTACGATTCTGAAAAAAAACTTGTACATCCAAACACCCGAGGTATGATGGAAGAAAGAATAATATCAGGCTGAAGCACTTGCAAGGGGGCCTTACCATTTAATACTCTACTAGGGGTACCGCCATGCACTAGTATGACTTTGGCACATTCATATCACTTAAAAGACATCGAACAACTGACGTTAGTTGGTGGTTTTTATGCTCTGCCACAGCAATCTGTTCGGGGGTATATGGACAAGTAAGTTGATGAAGAATACCTTGTTGGTTAAGTTGAGACCGAAACTCATTGGAAACATATTCACGACCTAATATTCCTGACAACTGTTTTATATTGAGTTTTGATCATTTGGAGGAATTGAGTGAACAAGGGAAAAACTTTAGATTTCTTTTCAAGTAAATGTACCTATGTGCAGCGGGAATAATCATCAATGAATGTGACATAATAACGATGCCCCGAAAAAGCAGTAACGGGAGATGGACCCCACACATCAAAATGTATGAGATCAAACATACTAGGTGCACAATGCATATGAGAAATATAACTGGTTCTAGTATGTTTAGAAAGTTCACAAATCTCACATTGAAACTTATTATCCTTACAAGCCGTTATTAATGAAGGAAAAAGCAACATAAATACTGAAAGTTTACATGCCCAAGGCGAGCATGCCATAGATTTAAAGTCTGAAAAGAAAAATCATAAGATCTAGAAACTGGAAGAACAGAGGCTTGAAGCAAGTGGAGGAGGTGTCGGTGGAGGATCCCTAAAGTGGTAGAGGCCATCGTGCTCATATCCCCTGCCAAAAATCCTCTTCAAACCCAAGTCCTATAAAACACAGTAATGAGGAAAGAAAATCACTACACAATAATGAGGAAAGAAAATCTCTTTTACTACGAATAAGGACAACTCACCAGTCATGTGATCATTGGCTGCGGAATCCAGAACCTAGGTAGGTTTTCCCGCTTTAACATGAAAAGCAGGAGGAGTACCTGTAGCTATTGTAGCCGTAGTAATAGAAGAATCAGCCCTGGTAGATAAAGCTCCAAACTACTCCTGAAGCTGACCAATCTGGGACTGTAATTGATTGAAGTCCTAAAAAGATGGTCTGGGAGAAGTTGAAGAAGGAGGGACAACAATCTGTGGAGTAGTATACCCACCAATAGTATCGGCTATTGTGGCAGTGCGGCCACAGCCAGAAGTACGATTGCAAGAAAATTTTTGCTTTAGCCCGGGATGAAGCTTAAAGCAATGATCCTTTACATGACCCGTGGCTCCACAATGTTAACAAATAACCTTTCCCTCTGAAAGTCTAGAATTAGCAGCACTAGTCTCTAGAAAAGCTACTGGCTGAGAGATCTGACGTTTATGCTCCTCATAGTCAACAGTAGCGAAGGCATCATATAAATTAGGCGTAGGAGAGGTGTTTATGATCTGAGTTCTAAGTGTTAACTTTAAGAATTAATCAAATCAAAAATAAGTGATAAAGAAGAAGAAGAAGAAAAAGAAGAAAAAGAGAAGAAAGCGGATGAGAGAAAAAGAGAAAGAGATGGGGAAAGAGAGAAAGAATGAAAGAATACTTTCATCCTTCCACCACATTTTATTTATAATAACAAGTTTCAGAAATTACATAAGATCCAACATTATATAAGTAATAACAAATAAGCCCTTGACAACACTCCCCTCAAGCTGATGCAAAGATATCTATCATGC